ATTCTATCTTTGAGGGAAAAATCCCAAAACTGAGAGAAAAATCTCAATCCTGAGGGGAAAAAAACCAATCCTGAAGGAGAAAATCCCAATCCTGAGAGAAAAACCTCAAAATTGAGAGAAAAATCTCAATCCTGAGGGGAAAAATTCCAATCCTGAGGGGAAAAATCCCAATCCTGAGGGGAAAAACACCAACGCTGAGGGCAAAACCCCCAACCTTGAGACGAAAACCCCAACCTTGAGGAAAATCCCACCCCGCAGCTCTTTGCGAGGAAGCTTCTCCCATCCCAAAAAAAATAAAAATAACAATCCAGAAGTTGGAAAAACTGGGATTTTTTACCTCAGGAGAGTCTCCGTGGCAGGACAAGGAGCAGGTGAGTGTGTGCTCGCCCATGGTGTAGGGATACTGCTGCAGGAAGCTGTGCATGGCCCGCGCCGATTTGGGGCTGTCCAGCTGCAGGATGGCCTGAGGGGTGAAAAAATTCCAATTAATTCCTGGATTTCTGGATCAAATTATGGGAATTCTTCAAACTGCCCGGATCCCTCGTTTCCTGCCTCTTTCCCGGTGTAAAAAAGGTAAAAAATCACCTTAAAATGTCATAATTTGGGTCCTAAAAGTAGGAATAATTTGGATTTTCTTGGGGGTTTTGGGATGTAGAAGAGATTTTTTTTTTTATTTGAGAAATTTTTAAAAATTCCTTCTTTTCTTTTATATTTTCCTTGGTTTTTTGAGATTTAAAAAAGATTTTTGGATTTAAAAAAGGTTTTTGATGGATTTTGGGGATTTAAAGATAATTTTCCTTGGGTTTTTTTGGGGATTTAAATTATATTTTTCTTGGATTTGGGGATTTTAAAAAGAGTTTTCTCTTTTTTTTGAGATTTACAAAACATTTTCTTAGATTTTTGCGGTTTAAAAAAGATTCTTGATGGGTTTTGGGGTTTAAAAAAGGTTTTTGATGGATTTGGGGATTTAAAGATAATTTTCCTTTTTTTTTTGGGATCTAAATGATATTTTTCTTGGATTTGGGGGATTTTTAAAAGTTTCCTGTTTTTTGGAGGGATTTTCCTTGGTTTTCGGGATTTAAAGATTTTTGATGGGTTTTGGGATTTAAAGAATATTTTTCTTGGATTTGGGGATTTTTATTTCCTGTTTTTGGCGAGATTTTCCTTGTTTCTTTGGGATTTAAAAAAGATTTTTAATGGATTTCGGGGATTTAAAAAAGGTTTTTGCTGGACTTGGGGATTTAAAGATCACTTTCCTTGGTTTTTTGGGATTTAAGGGACATTTTCCTTGGGTTTCTTTGGATTTTACTGTTATTTTTATTTAAAAACATTTCATTGAGATTTTTGGGATTTTGAGGATATTTTCTTTGATAATTTGGGATTTTTTTTGCTTTTTTGGATTTAAAACCATTTTTCCTTGTTTTTTTGGAAACTAAGACCCAGAGAAATCCCACAAAACCCCATCAATTCTGCCATTCCCACTCTTTCCAATTTCCAAAAAATCTCCTCCAAAAATTCCCCCCCAAAAATTCCCACAAAACTCTGAAAAAAATCCCCCCAAAAATCCCTCAACAATTCCCAAAAGATTCCCCCAGAAATTCCCACAAAATCCCTCCAAAAAAAATCCCAAAAATCCCAGAACAAAATCCCCACAAATTTCTGAAAAAATTCCCAATAAACCCCCAATAATTTCCAAAAAATCCCTCAAAATTATCCAAAAAATCCTCAATAACTTCCCAAAAAATATCGGCAAAAATTCCCCCAAAAAACCTCCCAAAATGCTCAGGAATTCCTAAAAAATCCCCAAAACTTTTAAAAAAAATCCCCAATAATTCTCAGAAAATCCTCAAAAATTTCTCAAAATCCCCAACAATTCCCAGAAAAATCCCCCTGCAATTCCCAAGAAATCCCCCAAAAATCCCCAATAATTCCAAAAAAAATCCCCCAATAATTCCTAAAAAATTCCTCAAAATCCCCAAAAAACTCCTCAATAATTCCTAAAAAATCCTGAAAAAAATCCCCAATAATTCCTCAAAAATCCCCCCAAATCCCCAAAAATTCCATGAAAAAACTCCAAAAAAATCCAGAAAAAATCCCGAAAAAAACCTGAAAAAAAACCCTGAAAAAAACCCCAATAATTCCTAAAAAATCCCTCCAAATCCCCAAAAATCCCCCAAAAAATTCCATGAAAAAAACTCCAAAAAAATCCAGAAAAAATCCCGAAAAAAACCTGAAAAAAACCCTGAAAAAACCCCCAATAATTCCTAAAAAATCCCTCAAAATCCCCAAAAATCCCCTCAAAAATAAAAAAAAATCCTCAATAATTCCTAAAAAATCCTGAAAAAAAAATCCCCAATAACTCCTTAAAAATTCCCCAAAAATCAAGAAAAATTCCTCAGTAATCCCTAAAAAATCCTGAAAAAATCCCCAATAATTCCTAAAAAATCCCCCAATATCCCCCCAAAATTACCAAAAATCCCCCAAAATCCCTGAAAAAATTCCCAATAATTCCTAAAAAATCCTGAAAAGGATCTCCAATAATTCCTAAAAAAATCCTGAAAATAACCCCAAATAACTCCTAAAAACATCCTGAAAAGAATCCCCAGTAATTCCTAAAAAATCCCCCCAAAATCCCCAGAAATTCCATGAAAAAAATCCAAAAAAATCCTGAAAAAACACTGGAAAAATCCCCAAAATTCCTCAATAATCCCGAAAAAATCCTGAAAAAAAATCCCCAATAACTTCTTAAAAATCCCCGAAAATCCCCCCAAAAAATTCCATTTAAAAAATCCCCAAAAAAACCCTGAAAAAAGAAAAAGATCCCAAGAAATCCCAAAAAAATCCTGAAAGAAGTCCCCAACAATTCCTTTAAAATCCCCCAAAAAATCCCCCAAACCCCAAAAAAATCCTGAAAAAATCCCCAAAAATCCTGAAAAAATAAAAAAAAAATCCTGAAAAAATCCCAAAAAATCCCCAATAATTCCTAAAAAATCCTGAAAACAATCCTCAATAATCCCCAAAAAATCCTGAAAAAATCCCAAATAATTCCTTAAAAGTCCCCCAAAAAATCCCCCAAAATCCAAAAAAATCCTGAAAAAATCCCCAAAAAATCCTGAAAAAACCCGGAAAAACCCCCCAAAAAAAATCTCGAAAAAAATCCAAAAAAATCCT